CCCCGTGCGCCGAGCGGGGACAGCACAGGGACAGCGCAGGGACAGCGCAGGGCCGGCTGCCTCGGGCTCTAGGGAGCTGCGGGAGGACGGGGCAGCCCCAGGGGCAGAGCACTAACGCCGGCCTCTCTCCTCTCTCCCGCAGTCCTGGTACCTGGGATAATCGCCGCCGTGCCGCCCCTTCGCCTCCCTTCTCCTCTGCTTTAGGCACCCCCAGAGGAACATCCCCGTCCCCGAGCACCAGGCCCAGCCTTGCGGTGACGACGGAGAGCGCGGCCTCACGACGACGACGACGACGACGACAACAAGCAAAACCCACACCCGAAGGAAAGAGCAAGGGAAAGGAAGAAGGAAAAGGGTCAAACTGTTTTAAAATGGAAAAGAAAAAAAAAAAAACAAAACCCCACAAACAAAAAAAAAACAAACAAACCAACAACCCATCCCAGGAGGACCTTTCACCCCACCCCGGCGATGCGCCCGAAAACAAAGAAACAGGAAAAAAAGAAAAAAAAAAAAGAAAGAAAAAACACTATTCTTTACCCCGTGGGCCCCGGCGCCGCGCTGAGACCTGACACGAGCGGTGCCTGCGCTGCCTCCCGGCCCCGCCGGCCGCTCGCCGAATATGCAAACGGCTTTGACTCTCTCGTTCTTGCCTCTATGTGAGTAACAAAGATCAAAACCTCCCCCGCCGACCCCCCCGGCCCCAGACTGTCGGGGGTTCGTGGGGCTGGGCCGAGGAGCCCCTCCCGGGAACCCCTCCCGGGGAACCCCTCCCGCTGCCGCAGCCCCGCGGGGCAGAGCGGGCGCGCTCCGGGCGGGCGGGTGGCGCTCGGTGCTGTGCGAGCGCCCCGGGGACGGTGACATCGCGCTGCGGTGACACGGTGACATTGCGCTGCGGTGACACGGTGACATCGCGCTGCGGTGACATCGCGCTGCGGTGACGGTCGTGCGGTGGCACAGTGGATCGAGCGGGTGGCACAGGAGGAGGGGGCTTGTGACCCCAGCGGGTGCGTGGGCACGGCCGGGATGGTCGCGGCGGCGGTGGCACCTCGGTTCCCGCTCGGACACGGTGTCGGTGTCGGTGTCGGGACGCTCCCACCTTGCCCCACGCGTCACAGCGGCGGTGGCACCCCGGTTCCATCGGGGACGCGGCACGGGGACTGTCGCAGCCCGGCGGCCACCGTCGCGCCGAGGCTCCGGTCACCATCTCTCTGGTCGCATTCCTCCCCCAAGCCTGCACCGGCCCGGGCCCCGCCTGTCCCCAGCCGTGTCCCCGTGTCCCCAGCCGTGTCCCCAGCCGTGTCCCCGTGTCCCCAGCCGTGTCCCCGCGCCCGGGGGTTACGGGGCAGGGGCCGTGCGTCCGTGTGTTTGAGCTATGCATTCCTGTGGACAGGTACCGGGGGGGAGGCAGGGTGCGCTCGTGTTGCACATTTTGTAGGAAATGCACTTTTAAGAGGGAATCATCATCAAAAAAAAAAAAAAAAAAAGAGGAAAAAGAAGAAGAGAAAAGAAAACAAAATCACAAAAAAAGGGGAAGAGGAAGAGGAGGAGGAGGTGGAGTCCCCGGCACCGGCTTGCCGGGACGGCTGGTTTGGGGTTTTTGGGTTTGGTGGTTTTGTTTTTTTTGGGTTTGGCTTTTTTTTTTTTTTTTTTCTTTTCTTTTCTTTTTGGATACAAAAGGACGGAGCAGAGAAGCCCGAGCGACGGCGAGGGCAGAGCCAGCCCCTCCCGGAGCCCCCCGGAGCCCCCGGAGCCCCCGGCCCCGCGTCAAGTGCCTGAACTGCGGCGGGGAGGGGTCCCGGAGGAGCCGCCCCCGTCCCGTGCGGTGACAGCGGGGCCAGGACGGGGACACAGGGACGTGGCAGTGCCTTAGAGCAGAGCGACCCCCGCGACGGCCCAGGCGAGGAGGAGGAAGAGGACGAAGGTGCCCGTTGTCCCCAGCGAGATGAGGAGACCGATCCCCCAAGCATCTCCGGCCCAGGGGACACCCGAACGGTGCTGATGGAGAGAAGCCACCGCGGAGGTCCAGGAGCTCCAGGGGACATCATTGAGGCCACCATCGCCACCCGGCTGGCCCCCAGCGCCGCCCCGAGGAGCAGCGAGCGGCACCGCATCCCCATCCCAGCGACCCCCGCTTCCCCCCGCTTCCCACCCCCGGGACGCCACAACGAGACACCGGGGAAAGGGCTGACGCAGGAAATCCCGGGAGACAGAAAAATAATAAAAAAGGACAAGAAAAGGAGAAAACCCACCAAAAAAAAAAAAAAGTAAAAAAAGGAAAAAAAAAAGAAAAGAAAAAACAACAAAAAAAGCGCTTGGCGGAGAGGGAAACCTGTTTTTTTTTTTAAAGATCTGAGAAAAGAAACACATAAAAAAAGACAAAAAGACAAAAAAAAAAAAAAAAAAGACAAATAAACTGCATGGTGCTTTAACAGGATCTGGTGACCTGGCTCAACCCAGCCGCGGCTGGCTGATGCTGTGCATGGCAGACTCTTATTAACCGGCTCTACCTTCCCCTTCAGCAAAAGAGAAAAAAAAAAAAAAAAAAAGAGGAAAAAAACACAAAAAAAATCTGTATAAAAGAAAAAAACAGCCGTAAAAAAAAAAAAAACACACAAGAAAAAAAAAATCCATGTTTTCCTAATTTGCACGAAATTTTATACCACATGATGTGCCTTGCCTTCGAAGCCTAAGTATTACTGGACCCGATATCAGTGCGAGGGAGTCGCTGCATGCCCGGGGCTCCCGGGGGGCCGGGGGGGCCGGGGGCCGCTGCCCCCCCCTCGCCTCTTGCATGGCTTCTTCTCGGCCGGAAAAGTCCCTTTTTCTCTCTATTCTTCTTCTTTTTTAACCGATTTTCCCCCTCAGAAACGTCTTCCAGTTGGTAATACCGATGCATCCTCTGCGCCAACACACCGGAATATGCAATAGCTGTGGGGGGGCCGGCCGGGGGGGCGGCCACCCCTTTGCTTTGCCTCTCTTTTCTTTGTTTTCCTTCCCTTTTGGGGGGTTTTGAGTTGTTTTTTTCTGCTTCCAGCAACCAAAGGCAGCGAGGCGGGAGGCGGCGGGGACCCCGAGCGGGGTGGCGGTGTCCGGGCGGGGCGTGCGGGGCTCGGTGCGGGCGCTGCGGGGATGGAGCCGCTCCGGGCCGGGCGCGGCTCCCCCGCTCCCCATTGGGGAACCCCCAGTTTTCCATTGGTGTTCAGCGGGGCGCAGGGCCGAGCCCGGCTGCTCTCGCACAGGAATGGAACCGAGTGAATGTAGCTGAGCCCCCACCCCGCGCTGGGGACAGGGGGGTCGCAGCCGCCACCCCAGCGCTCCGTGCCCGGGTGCGGCAGGAGCGGCAGGTGGTGCCTTCCTGCCCCCGACAGCCCCAAAACCCCTGAATTTGCCTTAAAACCCCCGCGTTCCGCCGGCTGGAGACCCCCGAGCTCCCTGGGGCTGAGAACTGACGCGGGTTGTGACACCGGTGGGCGGGTGGCCCCGGCATCGCTGCTGCTCGGGCATGAAGAAACGTCGTCGTCAACAGTTTTTAATTTTTGTTTGTTTGTTTGTTTTGGTTTTTGTTCTTTTTTTTTTTCCTTTTTTTTTTTTTTTTTTTTGGTGTCCAAAAGTATTAGAAGGGGGTGACGGGGTGGTCGCGTCCCGCCGGGTTTCGCCCACAGTTGAGGCTGGTTTGAGGGTCCCGGACCCTTGGGGGGAGCCTTGGGAGACGCTTCTTGATGCAAGGTGCAGTATTGATTTCTGCAAGGACAATGCAAGGAGGGAGTGGGGGCGGCGTCCAGCTGGGGGGGGGGGGGGGGGGGAATGAAATATTAGAATTAAAAAAAAGAAAAAGGGGGGAAAAGAAGACAAAATTTTTAAAAAAAGAGAGAGAGGGGTTTTTTTAATAGAAAAACAAAAAAAAAAAAAAAAAGAAGGGGGGGATTAAGGCTGGAGAAGGCTCAGCTCAAAGCAAAAAATATTAAAAAAAAAAAAAGGCATTTTTAAACGGTGACAGTGACAGCGGAGGGAGGGAGCGGGGGCACCGGGGCAGCTCCCTGGGCCAGCCCCGGGGAGGCGAGGGGCGCTGGCGCCCCTCGGGCCTGGACCCCCGCCCCGAGGAAGCCCCGGAGCCCCCCCTGTTCCCCCGGGGCCGCCCCTGCCCCGCTTCGCTGCCTCCCCACCCCGGGCCGGCTGCACCAAAACCCGCCCTCGGCAAGAAAAGCACCTTAAACCAAATTCCAAAAGGCAAAAAAGAATCAACTGGACGCCCCCCAGCCCGTCGGGCGGCACCGGGGGGGGCGTGCCGGGGTTTCCCCTTGCGGGGCCGGGAGCCCCCCGTGCCCCCGGGGCTTTGCACTGCTCCCCGACACCCCCGGCCCTGCCCAAAGGGAATATGCAACAGCCCCGGGCCCTCCGCGGGGGAGGGGGCACCGCTCATTTTTATTATTTCTATTTTTTTAATCATTCTCCCTTCTTTTTTTTTATCTTCTGGCGGCCTCGGTCGGGGGGTGAGCGCAAAGCCGGGGGGGAGCGCCCCATCCCTGGGGAAGCTCTGGGGGTCCCCCGCAGGATGGGGATACGAGGGGGCTCCGCTCGACAATCACCGCGGGGGTTTCATGCACTACAGGCTCTCCTAGAGGGTTTTTAGTCGGGCTCGTCGGCTTAAAAAATATAATTAAAAATAGTCCTTGTGACCTATAAATAAAACAAATAACCTGTACATATATATATATATATCTCCACATATATATATATGGGGCTGCAGGGCCGGGGGGGGGGGGCGCGGGCCCCCACACAGTTAAGGTACTTTAAATCGCAAAGGAATATATATATATATAAAATCTCATGCATATATATATATATATGTATATGTGTATATATATATATATATATATATATATATATATGTCTTGTTTGGTGGAGTTTGGGCTTTTTCCTTTTTTTTTTTTTTTTATTTTTTATTTTGGTTTTTGTTTGGTTCTGTTTTTGTTTTTTGTTTTGGTTGGTTTTTTTTTTTTTTTGTACTCGGAGTTTGGAATTTGCTGCTTTCTGCCCCCCTCGGGTATCCCACCACCGGCTGGGATGGTGCCCCTGGTGATGGATGCCCCGGGAGAGGCCCATGGTGACCCTCTGGGTGCCCGTGGGTATCACTGTGGGTGCCCCACCGGGTGCCCATGGGGGTCCCATGGGTGCTCCAGATGATGCCCCTCTGGGAGCCCCAGGTGATGCCCACGGGGGCCTCTCTGGGTGCTCCAGGTGATACCCGCGGGTGCCCCACCGGGTGCCGCACCTGGTGCCCATGGGTGCTCCAGATGATGACCCTCTGGGCGTCCCCTGGGCGCCCCAGGTGATGCCCATGGGTGCCCCTCTGGGTGCCCCAGGTGATGCCCACGGGGGCCTCTCTGGGTGCTCCAGGTGATGCCCATGGGTGCTCCTCTGGGTGCCCCTCTGGGTGCCCCAGGTGGTGCTCACGGGTGCCCCGCAGGGTGCCTCGAGCCGTACCCACCAACGCCGCTTCGGGTGCCCGTCCGGGTGCCCCAGGCGATGCCCAGGGGGCCCCTCTGGGTGCCCCAGGCGATGCCCGGGGGTGCCCGGTCCATAGGTACCGCTCTGGGTACCGCGTGCCCCGCCGGGCGCCCCGCGCGATGCCCGGGGGCAGCGGGATGTGGAGCCGGGCTTGGGGGACATCCCACCCCTGGGCAAAGAGCGGCAAAAGGACAGAAACCGCCCCAAAAAGGCGCCGAGGCGGCAGCCGGCCGGACCGCGCCTCTCACCCAAACCAAAAATCCCGCCGCAGTGCCTCCGCGCCGCCGGCTGCCCCGGCCGCCTTTTCGGGGGGTCCCCGCTCCCCCGGGCCGGGGGCGCCCCCTCCCCGCAGTTATATTTTACTCGTTCGCCGGATTCTCGCTTTCGCTTCGCCGCAGCCGATACACACCGCGAGCGCACCAGGGCCGCGGGCCGGGGCCGGGCCCCCCGCGCCCCCCGCGCCCCCCGGCCCCGCATGGACCCCCCGACCCCCGCTCGCCTCCCTGGTGCTTCACGATATTTGATTATACCATTGTACGCAGCCATTACCGATAGCGCCGCTCCTGCCTACATACACTTACTGACCCTGATACGGATTTTGGGGGTGTTTTTTTTGGTTTTCTTTTTTGTTTTGTTTCTTTTGTTTTTGGTTTTGTTGTTTTTGGTTTTGGTTTTTTTCCCGTTTTTTTTTTTTGTTGTTGTTGTTGTTGTTTCCCCCCCCTCCCCTATGCAAAAAAGAGAAAAAAGAGACAAAAAAGAAGAAAAAAACAAAAAAGAAAAAACTGACACACAAAAAAAGATTAAAAAATGAAAACGAAAAAAAAAGACAAAAAAAAAAATGTATAAAAATTAAACAAGCTATGCTTCAACTCCAGCTCGCCTCCGCCCTTCCTTCACTGCCCCGGGGGAACCGGGGAGCGGTGCCCAAGCGGGGGGACAAGGGGGGCCCAGGGGGGCAGGGGGGCACGGGGGGCACTGCGGGGAGCAGAGCCCGCCCCGGGGGGGGCACCCAGAGGGGGGACCCCCCCCCATGGCCGCCCTTGGCCCGGCAGAGCAGGGGACGGAGCCGGGAGCCCGCAGGGGACAGGACACAGGTGGGGACAGGACACGGGTGGGGACAGGACACGGGTGGGGACAGGACACGGGTGGGGCAGCCGCGGCTCACGCGGGAGTTCGGAGCTGCCGCCGCCTCCTCTGCTTCACACTTGGCCTCGGGACGTCACCACCTCATGCGCGTGACGTCACCGCCTGGTGGTGTGACGTCACCGACGTCACCCGTAGATCGGCGTTGGCCGAAGCTGCGCTTCACCCTCGCGGTGCCCACGGTGCCCAAGCACTGCCCAGGACCCCCCCTGTCCCCTCGGTGCCCACCCCTCGCTCCAGGCTGGCCTGGCAGCGATGGGGGCTGGACACGGGCCCCGCCCTGCCCAGGAACCGGCCATTGTCCCCTGCCCGAGTGGCACCCGGGGCTGCGGGACAGCCCCCTCCCCGCGCGGGGACACGACACGCCTGACGCCGGGGTAGGTTGGGGACACCTTTAGTGGGCACGTTTGGGGATGGGGCTCTCCTCCTGCCCCCGGGCCGGGTCCCCGCCGGGCCAGGGTCGGGGGCACGGGGAGGCCCCGCTGCCGCCGCGCTCCCGTTCAGCTCCCGGAGATCCGCGCCGGGTCTTGGTCCGAGCCGGGCCGGCGGCGGGCGGGAGGTGCCACGGTGGCCGCGGCTGTCGCCGAAACCCGGCGCGGATCCCCGGCCCGCGGACGGGAGGAGGGCGCGGTGCCCATCAGAGGGGCTCCGGAGCGGGCACGGGGATGCGGGGGCACTCAGAGCGACGTGGCCGCGGGCTTGTTCTGCTCCCTGTCGTCCCTCAGCTCTTCCCAGTCCTCAGCAGCCGGGTTGACGTGGCCGGAGCGCTCCAGCCTGCGGCAGGCAGGGAGGGAGGGAACGTCGGTCAGCCGGGCGCTGCACCGGCACCGCGGCCCGGGCCCGGTTGTGCGGGAGGGTCCCGGTGCTGCCCCGCCGCACACGGGCTGTGGTACCTGTCAGTCTCCAGGCTCTCCGGGTGGCCGTTCTCCTTCCTGCGAGGGGAGAGAGGCTGAACGGTGCCCGGGGACAGCCCTGCCCCAGCCTATGGCAACTTTCCACGCAGTTGTCCCCTGGCCAGCACCCCCCGCCCCCCACACCAATCCAACCTCTTCTTCCTGAGACTCCAGAGCCGGTTAATGAGCAGCACGACGAAGACAACGAAGAGGAAGACGACGACGGCCGTGAGGCCAATGAGCCACGGCTGCAGCACCTTGGGGCCCGTGCCTGCATGGCCAGGGGACAGGCAAGGGAAAAGACAGGGATGGGGACAGCTTCAGGGCAGCTCCATCCTCCAGGGGATGGGACCCCCCATGGGATGGAACATTGGCACACACTCACTGTTCCCCCTCCCCAGTGTCCCTTGGGTACCAAGGAAGGGACCCCCGACACAGCTCACCTGTCCCCAGTGCAGTGGGGAGCACTGGGGCAGCAGGTGAGTGTCTCCAGATCTTCCTGCTCTGCCCCCAAAAGTTGCTGTTGGAGCACTGGGACAGACTGGTCCCACTGGAAAGGTCTCCCAGGAGCTGATCTGATGCCTGAGGGGAGGCCTGGCCACCTGCCCAGGTACCCCAGGGCACAGAGTGGCACGGGGGCACTTACCAGTCTGTCCCTGGGCGGTGGAAGCAAGGACGAGCAGGAGCAACAGGGGCTGCAAGAGCTTCGGCATTTTTGGGCAGAGGCTGGGGAACGTCTGGAGCCTGCTCCTGGAGCTGAGCTTTTGTCACCTGCTGCTACCGTGCCTGCACTCTGCACCCAGGGCAACAGGCGCCTTTATTGGCCCCAAGAGGACAAAGTGGCTGCAAGCACCATGGCAACGCGACTCCTGTCACCCCTGGCAGGTGGTACCACTCCCCTGGCTCAGGCACGGGCACCCCACCACACCCAGCGGCCGCCACCTCCGGGAGCAGCGTGGCAAAGGACAGGCGTGTCCCTGTGCCCAGGGCTGGGGACCACGCCAGGGTGGGCAGGTGGATGGAGGCAGGGACAGACAGGTGTGGGTGGGTGGGGGCACAGGTGGAAGGACAGATGGGTGATGGGGTGGAGAAGTGCCCACCCTGCCTGGTTCCCCCTATCCCAGCTGGCAGGGCTGGGGCAGATCCCATGGAGATGGGGCAGCACAGAGGGGTGGGCAATGCCAGGCACCCCCAGCCCTCCCCTGGGCACGAGCCAGCTGCCCCAGACAATCCCAGGTGGGACCCCATCATGTCCTCAGGGAGTGTGTGCCCACAGACTGCCAGGAGTGAAACAATGACAGGTTTAGCTCAGGGACACCATGGCAGGGTGCCCACCCACCAGGGCACACTAAAACTGAGGCAGAGGGCGGCCACTAGCACCCCAGGGAGGGACAGTGGACTTTGGCAGGGAAGACACAGAGAAGAACCCTGCTGTGTCCTGTGGCAATTCCTCAAGGGGTTAAGAAGAAGACTGGGGGCACAGGGACCCAGCCTCAGCCCGGGTTTAAGTCAGGGGCTGCAGGTCCATAAAACAGCCCCACGCCCAGTGCCCTCTCCCAGAACCCAAGTGAGGCTTCAGGGTGCTTTGTCCCCCAAGACTGGTTTGGGGCCACCTCTGGCAGTGCCAAGGCACTGAGGGGATGGTGGGGGCACAGCCAACCTCAGCATCCAGCTGTCCATCCGTCTGTCCCTACCCCTGTGCCCACGCTGACTTGGCCCATCCCGAGGGGTATCCATGTTTCTGTGTGCACCCGTGCCCATGCCCCCTGCCACCATCGGCTGTGCCCCCACACCGAGGGCTTGCACCCCCAAGCATCCCCTTTATACACCCATGTGCCCATGGCCGGGGCTGGCACGGCTGTGCCAAGGGGTGCTATTACCCCAGGCAAAGATTGGGATGCCCCAGCTCTGCCACCCCCGTGCCGTGCTGGGCCAAGGGGTGAGCAGGGCTGGGACAAGTGGTGCCACACTGCATTGGTGTGACAGCCCAAGGGGAGCCCGAGAGCAGCGCTGGGGCTGGCAGGGAGGGGGAGGCTCTGTGCCAGGGCTGGGCAGTGCCTACACCCAGGGCCACGCCGTGACCCGATGGCCAGGCAGGGCTGCAGGGTCCTGCTGGTGGCACGGGTGTCCCCTGAGCTAGAAGAATCTCTTCTTGGGGGGGTCAGCAAAGGAGACGGAGCTGCGGGGAGCGAGCAGCTGCAGCGGGATGTCCGTGCCGGGCAGGATTCCGCTGCCTTCATCCTCCACCTTCTGCTGCACCAGCACCTCATCCTCCTCCAGCCACTCTGCCTCCAGCACGGGGCCTTCGGCCATCTCTGCCTTCTCCTCCGGCTTGGGCCCAAATGCCCAGTCTGCAGGGGCTCAGAGGGAGCTGTCAGCAGCCCCAGCCCTGCCCCAGCCCAGCCACAGCCGGGGGGATCCCCCTGGCCCCCGCCCACCCCAAAGCCCGGCCCCGCTGTGGGGGGCACTCACCGGCAAAGTCGTGCACCAGGTCCTTGATGAGGTGCCCCACGATGGCATATGCCACCACCAGCACCAGCGTGGCTGCCATCATCAGGTAGAGCACATAGCGGGGCAGGTGGATGCTGTCCAGGGCAGGGGGCCTGTAGTCCACATACAGCACCTCGTCCTCCTCGGGGGGCGCCTGCAGCAAGTGCCGAGGCCCCGGTGCCCCCCCGGTGCCAGGGAGGAGGACACCCCCTGGCAGGGCCATGGCCAGCTACCCCTGCCTCCCCACCCCGAGCCACTGGAGCCTCTGCCACGCAGGGGACTGCAGGGGGGGAGGTGGCATCAGGGTCCACAAGGCTCCTCGGTGCCGGCAGCTCACAGGGACAGCGGTGTCCCCACAGCTGGTGGCAGTGCCACTTACCCGGCGGCAGAGCTGCGTTGCTGAGGAGCTTAGCACCTGCTAATCCAGGCACAGCCGGGCTGCCTCAGCATGGGAGGTGACCAGGGGGCTCTGATGTGGGTCAGGGTCCCCAAATCCCACTCCTCTGGGAGCACCACTGGCACCCCTGCCACCCCGGGAGTGAGGAGTCACGGACAGCTGGAGAGCTCCCAAAGACAGGAATGGGGAGGGATGCCCGAGGCCTCTCCTCCCTCCCCTGGGCTGGGTTAAATCCCTCAGCAGGCCCCGGATCCCTGGAGCAGATGGCTGAGATCCCAGAGGACACAGCACCCTTGGAGCCCATGGGAGCAGGGATTTGGGGATGCCTCAGCCACGGGAGCTCCCACGGGGCCCCCTCTGCTGTACAGGGGAGCAGCCCGTGGCAAGAGGCTGTCACCTTCCCAGGTGGCTGCCACGTGTCACCCCAGCACCCAGTGTCACCCCAGCACCCAGTGTCACCTCCCCAGGGCAGAGCAGCCTGCAGAAGGGGGCCGAGTCCATATTTCTCTCAAAATTAATTCTCCCCACACCAAGAAGGTGCAGGTTTTAGCCCAGACCAGCAGCAGCTTTGAAGAAATCCCAAACCCCTCCCAGCAGAGGCTGAAGGTGCTGGTGGAGCTCAGTGCCGAGCCAAGGCTCAAGGCTGAGTCCTGCTCCAGCCCAACACCTCCAGCTCTGCTGCACCAGGGCACCCCTGTCCAGATCCCAGCCTCAGAAATGCATTTTGTTCCGATTTTGTCTTAAAAGCTGTTGGGAGAGCAGAGACAAATGTTGGCACAGAATGATTGGGAAACAGCCCTGCAAGGTGTGAGTGAGTCACCGTGGCAAAGCTGGGGAGCAAAGGTGGGGGCAGCCGAGGTGGGAAGTGGGGACAAAGAGCCTGGCAAGCTCCAGGGTGCTGGAGCCCACGTGCCAGCAAGGGAACAGTGGGAATGATAACGTGGCCTTGGGGAAGGCACCCATCTATCTCACTGTGCTGGGCATGGATATGACACAGGGACACCCCAAAGTGCCACCTGGCTCCTGCCCATCACCCAGGGGCTACGGAGGGTGAGGGAAGGGGGACAAGCAACCCATAACAGCTGCTGACTCCAAACAGTGTGAAAACATCAGATGTTTGTCCTCAGTGCTGGGGAAGGGCAGTCTGGAGCCCCTCACCCTCCACACGGCACACAGGTGACCCTACCCACAGCACTCAGGTACATGTCACTGACTCTTGCTGTGTACAGGTGACCAAAACTGGTCACATCTTGACTAACAGCCCTTTCCATGGGGTCCTGAACTGGGTCAGACTGGGCCATGGCCAGGGCTGCCCCTTGGCTGTGGCCCTGAGCACCAGAGCCCTGGGGATGCTGAGCTGGCTTCAGGGACTAAGAGGATTGAGCCTGGGAGTGACTGACAGGGAGCCCTTGGACAAGGGGAAAAGGGATGCCCAGCAGGATGCCAGGCCCTGCAGGGCAGTGGGACCTACCAGGGCACCTCAGACAGATCATCCTCCTCCCCAGGGCTGGGGGTTTCACCTCATGCCATCAGGGACCCCACTCCCTGTTCCTCCCAATGTGGCTGGACTTGAACTTAAAGGTCCTTTCCCATCTCAATGGTTCTATGACTTCACTTTGGCAGCCCCCAGCCTCCTGCCCAGGGGTTGACCCCATGGCAGTGGGGGCACTGCACACCTGGGCACAGGTAAATCACAGCTCAGTTCACTCCAGCTTCCTGTGCCAGTGCTTTATTCCCTGCCAAACCCCAAACCCCAGTGCCCAGGCTGGGCTGACGGAGGGATCTGGGTGCCAGCAGCAGCCTCAGCTCTCCTGCCCCTGGTTAAACACAGAGGAAAGCCCAGGCAGGCTCTGCCTCACCCTGCCCACCCTAATGGCAGCGCCCTTCCCTGCAGAAAAAAACCCAGCCATATCTTCCCAACTTTGCCATGAAACAACCCCCATCTTAGGGCAGAGGCTGCCACAGGCTCAGCTCCAGCTTGTCCCAACAGGAGAAGCCAAACCCACGGCGCGGGTGAGGAGGGCCCCGGCTCGGCACCATCACCGAGAGCAATTTCAAAGCATCCCAACACCACAGCCCACAAGAGCGGGTGCCCAAAGCCCATCCTAGCCCCCAGCAAAGCTCAGCTGTGGAGAACGGAGCTGCCGACAGGGCAGCACCAACCCAGGGCAGGCCCAGGCCCCGCAGGGCCGCAGCAGGCTCCGACGTGCCAAGCTGAGCCCACCTGGTCCAAGCCCCGAGCCACGCTGCGGGCGGGCAGCGCCGATCCTGGCAGGGAAAAGGGGCAGGTCCAGGAAACAGCGGCTGGCGAGGAGCGCTGGGGAGGCAAGTAGCAGCTCAGCCCGGATTTGGAGGGAAAAGGTGCTTGTAATTGTGCCAGAGAGCAACCCCGGTCCCTCCCACGGCTCGGCAAGGCACGGATCCGCCGGCGGCGGCAGGCAGCGCACCCAGCTCGCTGCCCCCAGCCCGGGCTCAGGAGGAGGCCTGCAGCTTGCAGAGCCCGTCGGCGTACTGGAACTGGGCGCCGTTCTCGTACTCGTACATGTCCAGGGCCACCTGGCAGCTCTCGCGCACCACGCGCTCCTCGTCGGCCGCGAAGGCGCGCAGGGCGCGCAGGCAGCCGGGCCGGGCAATGGCGCCCAGCGCCTCGGCGCACTCGTGCCGCACCATGGCGCTCTCGGCGCGGCTGCACAGCGCCGCCGTCAGCTGGGGCACGCACGCCTCGTCCTGCAGCTGCCCCAGCACGTAGCCGATCTCGTGGCGGAACAGCGCGCTGCCGCAGCGCAGCCCTGCGGGAGGGGGGACAGTCAGCTGGGACTCCCCAAAATTCACCAGGGTGCCCCAAAACGCGCCAGGACGCCCGGATGGAGCCCCCACCTGAAAGCTGGGGATGCCAAGGGTCACCACCCCAGCCCTACAGGAAGGGGTGTCCCACCCTGCCCCCTGATCCCACTCTGTTCCCTGATCCCACCCTGCTCCTTGACCCCACTCTGCTCCTTAATCCCACCCTGCTCCCTGATCCCAGCCTGCTCTCAGATCCCACCCTGCTCCCTGATCCCACCCTGCCCCCTGATCCCACCCAGCTCCCTGATCCCACCCTGCCCCCTGATCCCACCCTGCCCCCTGATTCCAGCCCTGTCCCTGTGCCTCCTTTGATGGCAGAACCCACCCCTCCAGCAGAGCTACTGCTTCCCCACCTGCCCAGGTTCTGCCCCACCACGTGATGTTCCAGGCCATGGCAGCATGGCCAGGGACCCCAAGCAGCTAGAGCAGGAGCTGACAGATCCCACCTTATGGACCTCAACAGGCCCAGATGGCTGGAGAGCCTGACCAACTTCCCTCAGGCTGGGAGTGGGTCCAAACAGTTCCTGGACTGTGGTCTGCCCTTTTCCCACACAGGGACATTCCCCTCTCCAGAACTATTCCCAAACACCAGCAGCCCCTGACATTGCAGGCCAGGAGAGCATGACCCCAAAAACCCCAGGCCAGACTGGTCCCAGACCCCCATCACAGCCAGTGCCCTCCCTCCCTCAGGGAAGGGGGTCTGGAGGGTGGCAAGGGGACTCTGGAACACCAGAGATCACCCAGCACTCTGTGATGTAGCTAGGAACAGCAGCCCTAGCCACAAACACGTGAGAGCAGCTCTGCACTCCTGCATTTGGGAAGGGCTCATCCCAGATTGACCTGGACAGACCCACAGCAAGGCCAGGCCCTCACCTTCTGCCAGTGCCAGCACAGCAGCCTGGCCCCCCACGTTCCGCAGCGCAAACATGGCCCGGTAGCGCTCAAACAGCTCCTGGGACTCATCCAGGAGGATCTCCCGGAGCTTGGCAACATCTGTCTCGTCTGAGGGGGGAGCAGGATCCACAGAGCGGTATGGGCTGCTGCCTGCCTGCTCCTGGTTGTTCTGCAGCCACTCCAGCCTCCTCACGGCCAGCTGACACGTCTCTGCCACCTGTGGGGACAGAGACATGGCCCTGCCTGCACAACAGCACTGGACAGCGCCAGGAGCAGCCCAGCACACAGCAGATGTCACTGTGATGTCTCCACCCACCCGGCCAGTGTGGGACCCGCCTCCGAGACCAGCGGTGCTGATTCCGGAGGAAATGGCCCCTCGGGAAGCTCACCTCGACCACAGGATCCTGGGAATAGCGTTTCAGGACATCCAGCACCTCGGGGTTCCCAATAGCACCCAGGGCTTCACCTAAAGGATGGATCAGGATGTAATCAGAGTGTTTGTGTGAGAAGAACCCTGCTGTGCCCTCTGGCAATGCCTTGCTTTGCTCTAAAGCACAGACACAGGCCGAACTGACCGATCCCACATGGGGCAAACACGGGCACAGGCCAGACTGACCAATTCCAAACAGGACAAACACGACAGGAGAAGCCTGGCCAACCTGTCCTGCCAGGTGTGGCCAGGGACGGTGGTGAGGTGTTACGTGACTCAGGGTTTGACATCCAAGCAGGATCAGGCCCCCATGAGGTGCCCTGTACAGTGGGGGAAGCACTCCAAGCCCCACTTGCCAGCCAGCCCCCTTCCCTGCCCCCAGAGCCGCAGGAGCCGCTGCCGTACCTGCCTCGTGCCTGACCATGGGCTCCTGGGCCGTGTCCTCCAGCACGCGGATGAGCACCGGGATGGCGGCCTCGTCCTGCATCTGGCCCAGGCAATAGGCCAGTTCGTGCTTCAGCAGCGCCGAGCTGTCCCCAAAGGCGCGGCTGATCCACTCCACGGCCGCGCGGCCGCCCAGGTTGCGCAGGGTGAAGAGGGCCCGGAACCGGGCGGGCAGCGGCTGCGCCGCGTCCACCAGCGTGCGGCCGATGGCCTCCACCTCCTGCTCCGTCACCATGGCGCGAGCGGCTCCGGGCACGCTCGGGGCTCCGGGAGGCTCCTCGGTCACACTCCTGCGTCCGGGGAAGGGAGTCAAAGTGCGCCCTCAGCCGCCAGCGGATCCCGTGGCCGGGGGCAGGGTGGGCGGGAAGAGCCGCGGCCCGGCCTGTGCCGGAGAACCGGACCCGGGGCTGACCCGAGCGCGTGTCCTCGCACACTCGGTTTCACCGGATACCCGAGGCGGACATAGACCGCCTGCCGCGACCACGCCAGACAGAGCCGCCGAGCCAGCGGAAGCGGGGCCCGAGAGGAGCGGCCGGGCCGGGGGATCCCGGGGGGTTCAGGGAGGGCCCGGCGGTACCGGCACCGCACTCACCGCGCGCCGCCATCTTGCTGCTCCGCCACGTGACCGCCCGGCGGCCGCGCCTGCGCAGTACGCACGGGCGGGGCCGGCCGCGAGGGGGCGCTGCCGCCCCTCCGGCTGAGGGCGCTGGGGCCGCCAGGGGGCGCTGCGGGAGGAGCAGGGCCGCTGCCGCCATGGCCGGGCCCGATCACGGAGCGCGGAGCCGGGCGGGGCCGCGGAACGGAGCCACAGACACTCCGGAGAGGGACCGGGGCTGCCAGGCTGGGCAAACCCCTCCAGAGAGGGGCTGGGGCGTTCCAAGGAGGGCAGAATTCCTCTGGAGAGGGACCAGGGGTGCCAGGCTGGGCAAACCCCTCCGGAGAGGGGCTGGGGATGCCAGATTGGGCAAGGCCCACCCTGAGAGGGACCTGGGGGTGTTCCAGGCTGGGAGAGGGTTCAGGCAGTGCCAGGCTGGGCAAACCCCACCCTGAGAGGGACCTGTGGTGCGAGACTGGACAAAATCCCTCAGGAGAGGGGTCAGGGATGCCAGGCTGGGCAAAATCCCACTGGAGAAGAACCAGGGGTGCCAGGCTGGGCGAACCTGTCTGGAGAGTCCAGGTGTGCCAGGCTGAACAAAACCCCTCAGGAGAGGGGCTGGGGGGTGCTAGGCTGGACAAACCCTCAGGGCAGCACATCCCTGAGTTTGTGGATGCAGTTGAATTCCAGGCTGGTGTCAGCCCTTGCAAGCCACTGCTCCGCCTCTTCCTTCCCTCTCCTTCCTATGTGTGTTTACACAGCAAGTTTCAAACCTCCAAAGGAGTTTTGCCTTATTTCAAGGCTCCTGCTGATTTTGGTTCAAAGGAGAGTCTTGGAGACAGAGGAAAGGGAGACCCCAGCAGCTGCCCTCTCCCAGCCCTAATCTCCACTGTACTCCCGCAGCACACAACACACCACCAGTTTAGATCCTGGGAGAGAGAATGGGCACAAAATACATTCCACTGCCTGAAACCTGCACAGCGAACCCAGCACGAGCGTGACACGGCCGCCCCTCCCCGCCCTGGGCCCGCCTAGTGCAGCTGGAAGCACTGGGCCAGTTTGCCAGAGTCCACGGTGAGTCTGCAAGCAGGGATGTGCAGGGCAGCTGCTCCTGGGCCATCAGCCCTCCCCGCAGCTCTCGAAGTACTGACACATCAGCTCACGCACTTGCTCGGCCCGGTTGTCCTCCATGGCGGCCGGCGCGGGCTGGCAGGGCTTGGGCAGCTCGGTGGGCTCGGTGCCCTCCAGCCACTCCTCGTTGAAGGGGTTGTCGTGGGCCTCGCAGACGTTGTGCAGGATGCAGCAGGCGAGGACCAGGGTGGGCAGCAGCTCCAGGCTGCAGTCGTCGCACTTGAGGAGGATCTGCCAGCGCGCCTTGAGGCGCAGGAAGGCGTTCTCGATCACGCTGTGGGCCCGCTTCAGGCGGTAGTTGAACTGCAGCTGGCGCTGGGTCAGGTTCTCGTCCTCCTGGTAGGGCTTGAGGATCCAGTCCTGCAGGGGGTACGTGGCATCGCCCAGCAGCACGTACTTCTGTGCCTTCCCCATGAAATGCTTGGGAGGGTTGGGGCACAGCCGGCCCTCCTTGGCCAGCACCCACAGGCTGGAGCTCTCCAGGACCGCGCTGTTCTCCATGCTGCCCGGGAAGGCGGTGGAGACGTCCCAGAACTGGCCCAGCCCGTCCACGGTGGCCTGCGTGAGGATGGAGTGCCAGCCCTGGCCGTTGCAGTAGTCGGCGGTGAGGCGCAGGGGCGGGTGGATGGGGATGTGCAGGCTGTCCAGCGCCCCGATGCAGTGCGGGAAGCCCCAGCGCGTGCAGAAGATGCGCGCCATGTTCTCCAGCTCCTTCTCATCGGGCAGCCGCAGGTAAAGCGGCTTCAGCAGCAAGACCACGGCGTAGCTCACCTCCCGGACGCAGCTCTGCACCGTGGAGGGCCCCACGCCGAAGAGCGGGCTCAGAGTCTGGTACTCCACGTTGGTGGCCAAGTGCCACAGGGCCACGGCCACCCTCTTCTCCAGCGGCAGGGCGGGGTGGAAGTGCGCGCTGTGCGGAGCCAGCCCAGGCCGCAGCTGGTTGCAGATGTAGAAAAAAGTCTCCTTGGACATCCGAAACTTCTCCAGCCAGTCCTGGGGCCCAAACTCCTTCAGGACCACCTGCTCCCACCAGTCCGTGCTCCTGAGGCTGGGCCAGGCGCGGGGGTAGAAGCAGCAGCTGGTTCTCCTCCGGTGAGCGATGAGGAGCTGCAGTGCAGGGGGGAGACAACAGCAGTGTGAGACAGCACTTCACTGCACCTCACTGGGACCCCTTCTGAAGACCACCCCGCTCAAGAGACTTGCTCAAGGCAGGAGGATGGCCAGTGCCAGGTGGCTAGTGGTCCCAACTGGTGTAACACCAGTCAAATCTTCCTGTTCCTGGGAAACCTCACTGCAAACCCACCAGGCAGTAGGTGTGACCCCAGACAAGATGCTCAGGTGTTGCAGATGGAGCTTCCTGGAAAAGCCCTTTTTTGGGGTGGCCATTCCCTCTGGGGGTTTGTATTTTAACGAGCATTGCTGGATTTCCAGCCACTGAGGGAACTGTGGGCTAAGTCCCGATTTGGAAGGGAGAGAGAGCATCCCTCAAAGGTGGGAATCATTATGTGAAAGGGGAGGTTCCTGGCCCTTCCACAGGAATTGTTTTTCTGTTATTAAATTCTGTTATTAAATTCAGGCAGTGCCAGGCTAGGCAAACCCCACCTGGGGTTTGCAACTTTAAAAAGAGGCTTTAGTCACCTTCTTCAGCCACTGCCCAGGCCAGCAGGTTCCTCATGTTCCCCCTCCAGCTTGTCCTTGCAGCCAGGGATCCCTTGTATCCCCCAATGCATCCCTCGCCTTTGATGTCACCCCCATGTCCGCTGCATCCAGCATCCTTTGTGTCCAGGATCACATCCTATGTCTCTCAAGTCCCATCCTTTGTGTCCCTGTTTTTGTGTCCCACAGAACCCCCACGTTCCTCATCCTTTGTGATCTCTGTGTCCATGTGTCCTTCTTGTCCCACATCCCGTGTTTTGGGTCTCACATGTCCCCCACCCTCTATGTCCCCCTTGTGACTTCCCCATGCTCCCCATCCTTTCCACCACTGTCCTTTGCATCCTTCTCCCCCCATCAACGTTTTGTGCTCCCGTGTACCCCGCGCCCCAAATCCCCCATGTCCATGTGTTCCGTGTCCCCATCCTGTGTCCCCGGGATCTGTCCCGCATCCCCCCATCCTCCGTGTCGCCGTGACCTCCTCTCGTCTCCCGTGTCCCCCACCCTCTGTGTCCCCGTGATTTCAGTGACCCTCCCATCCTTTGTGTCCCCGCGATCCCCACGTACCCCCGCACCCTCCGTCCCCCGTGGCCCCGTCCCCGCCTGCGGTTGTCCCCAGGTCCCGGCGGCCCCGCCCCGGTCACCGTCATGAGCCGCTTCTGCCGCTGGCTGTAGTAGTGCCGGAGCCAGGCTCGCCGCTGCGGCCCGTCCCAGCCCCCGGCGCCGCCGCCGCTGCCGCCGCCGCTCCCGGTGCCGGTGCCGTTCCCGGCCATCGCCCCGGCGCGCCGCCGCCGCCGCCGCGCCAGCGCGCACAGGAGCACCAGCAGCCGCTCCCGCATTTTCAAATCGGGAGCCGGGGCCGCCCTGGAAGTGATCGGCGGCGGGGTCACGGTGGCACCGGGGGGCGGGACGGGGTGGTGCCGCTCCGCTCCGCGCGGCACGGCTCTGCACGGCGGCGTACAGCTGTCCCCATCCGTGCCTGCAGTACGGACATGTCCATCCACACCGCACCGCACCGGGCTGCCCATCCCCATCCACATCCTCATCCCCCCAGCACCATCATCCCCATCCCCACGGCATCACCATCCCAAACCCCACAGCACCACCATCCCTATCTCTATCCCCATCATCCTCATCCCTACAGCACCATCATCCCCATCCCACAGCATCCCCATCCCCATCCCACAGCATCCCCATCCCCATCCCACAGCATCACCATCCCCACAGCACCACCATCTCTATCCCTATCCCCATCATCCTCATCCCCACAGCACCATCATCCGCATACCCACAGCACCACCATCCCCATCCCCACAGCATCACCATCCCCATCCCACAGCATCCCCATCCCCATCCCACAGCATCCCCATCCCCACAGCACCACCATCTCTATCCCTATCCCCATCATCCTCATCCCCACAGCACCATCATCCGCATACCCACAGCACCACCATCCCCATCCGCATCCCCACAGCACCATCATCCCTATCTCTATCCCCATCATCCTCATCCCCACAGCACCATCACCCCCATCCCACAGCATCCCCATCCCCATCCCACACCATCCCCATCCCCACAGCATCACCATCCCAAACCCCACAGCACCACCATCCCTATCTCTATCCCCATCATCCCCATCCCCACAGCACCACCATCCCATCCCACATCATCCCCATCCCCACAGCATCACCATCCCATCCCACATCATCCCCATCCCCACAGCATCACCATCCCCATCCCCACAGCACCACTATCTCTATCCCTATCCCCATCCCCATCATCCTCACAGCACCACCATCCCCATCTGCATCCCCACAGCACCATCATCCCCATCCCACAGCATCACCATCCCCATAGCACCACCATCTCTATCCCTATCCCCATCCCCATCATCCCCATCCCCACAGCACCATCATCCCCATCATCCCATCCCCACAGCATCACCATCCCTATCCCTATCGCACCACTATCCCCATTCCCATCCCCACAGCACCAACATCTCCATCCTCGTTCCTGCCTCTCTGCACCACAGCTCTGCCATCTCCATCCCCAGCACCACCTCTCACCAAACCACACCATCCCACCATCCCCACCCTCACCACCATCCCCATCCCATCCCATTCCCTTCCCGCCTCCAGGCTGGGCTGGAAAAGGCTCACTGGGCTCAGCTACAGCAAGGACTGGCACTACAGAAACAAGGAAAACCACAACAACAAAATCCCAAATCTGCCTTGGATTTGCAGGAAGGCTAAAAAAGGCTGGAAAAGACCAAACAAAGTTTACTGGGTTCAGCTTGGGCAAGGACTGGCACCAGAATGGCAAAAGGCACAACCACAGACAGGCAATGCCAGTGCCCTGCTGGTGCCTGGTGAAAGGAATAATATGAATGTGTCTTTACAAACAGACAGTGTGAATCTGCTTGTAGATAGGGCCAGGGACTTGTAGATAAGGAAGTAAGTGGAGAAACCATCAGTTTCAGAAAGTGTTACTAATTCACAAGGACTGTTGCTCAGCCAAGGTCCTGCTAAACCCCTGAACTTGAAGAACAACAAAGACAATAGAATTAATATCATGTGTTAAACAACGGGGGGATACAGTAGGCAATTCAGGAAGTTTGAAGTTTCTCCACCTCAGCCAGTGGAGAAAGGGAGAGGCTGATGTGGCCATGAATATTAGGATAAAAAGGAGGCTGCATCCCCCAACAATCTGAGAGGCCCTGTGGGAAATGCCCCATGGTCTCTCCCTTTGTTCGTGAATAAAGTTACAGGACTCCTCTGTCTCCTTTTTGGACATAAACCTCTGGTATCTTGAATTTTTCTGTACACCTGGGAGTAATGCCAGGGCCTCGATGGTACCCCAAAGGTGGTGCCTACTCTCCCAAAGTCTGTTTGGTTTCCAGACTGCCATGGCAGGGCAGATCCCACAGGTCTCCTGAGGCAATGGACAATGTGGGGTGCTGCAGGGAAGTTTCTGGGTTCCTCACGGCCCAAGCCCAGGATCTGCTAGAGGGAATCCTCTTCAGTTCTGGAGGCACTTTGAGCACCACAAGATCAGAAGGATCCAAAGGATCCATTACCCATAAGGATATTGGAGAGTGCCCAGAGGAGGGACACGGAGCTGGGCAAGGGCTGAGGAGCAGCTGAGGGCACTTGGCTGGTTCAGCTGCAGCCCAGGAGACTGAGGGGAGGCTCCTCGGGGGCTGCAGCTCCTCCCCAGGGCAGGCACAGGGGCAGGGGCTGAGCTCTGCTCTGGCACAGGGACAGGAGCCCAGCAAGGGCTGCAGCTGTGCCAGGCCTTGGCATGGAGCTCAGGGCAAGGTTCTGCCCCCCGAGGCTGCTGGGCACTGCCCAGGCTGCCCAGGGAATGGTGCCAAGGCTGCCAGAGCTGCAGGAGCTCCCAGGGGTGCTCAGGGTGGGGTGTTGGGGTGGCTGTGCAGGGACAGGGGCTGCACTGATGATCACTGAGCATCCCTCCTTGCTCAGGATATTCTATGAATGATTCTGTTCCTTCTCAGGACTGCAGCTATCAGGTGTTTCTTGTTGAAAATAACATACAAGGGAGCCTCAAAGTGAGACTTGATTATTATGGGAGGCCTAGCTGCATGATTGATAACCCAGGAGTCCAAGGTTAATATCAGGGATTGCATGCAGCTCGCTGCATTACTGCAGTAGGGCCAGAATGGGTGGCTGTGCTGTGCAGGGTGGTCACTGGTGTCACCAGAGCATGGGGGGAGGCACCCTCTGCCCCCCACAGGCACCCCGGGCCCCCTCTGTGGGCATGGGCAGGAACTGGGGGGTTCCAGCAGCGCTGAGAAGGGCACAGGGCCGAGAGTCCTCCTGCAGCACCTGCCCGGGCTCCTCCCAGGCCATGTGGGGCTGAGCAGCCACCCCTGCCCCAGTGCCCTCCCAGGAGGGGTTGGACACACAGCTGGCTTCCCCCACTCACCCCACACCTCTCTGGGAAGGGCAATGGGGACCAGAGAGCAGGAATGGGGGAGGCACAGCCACTCTGCGGGGTCCTAGGGGGTCCTACAATGAGTCACAGACAACCTCTGGGGGGCACAGGAATCCCACACCCTCTGGAGGGGCCAGGAACAACCTCCAGAACTCAAGAGGCCCCTTAAGGACCCAAGAACCTTCCCCAGAGACCCAAGAACCCCTGCAGGGACCAGGAGCCCCCCAAAGACCCAAGCACCCCGTTAAGGACTCAGGGAGCCCCTCAGGGACACGGTGAGTCCCTTCCCGGGATCCAGACCTGCTCCTAAAGCCCCTCCAGGACCAAGAGAATTCCCTCAAGGACCCAAGAACACACAAACACACACCCAGCGACCGAAGGAACCCTCCAAGGCCCCAGGAGCTGCCCCCAAGGGCCTCCTTAAGGACTCCCAGGGCCCCTCAGCGCCCCAGCATTGCGGGCGCGGTGCCCTCCCGGGACAGACACACGGACACCGGGGCCGGCCATGACGTCATGTCCCGGCGGTGACGTCAGCGGGGCCGTTGCCATGGCGCCGCGCGCCGCCGCTTCCTGTGTGTATTCGAAGCGGCGGGCGGGGCGCGCTCCCGTCGTGCCCCGCGCGGGGGCGGGGGCGGCCGCCATGTTGTGGAGCGGCGGGGCCGGCGGGTGCTGACGGAGGAGGCGGAGCTGGGCCGGGCCGGGCCGGCTGGTGGCACCGGCACCGGAGCAGGTACGGCCGGGGCAGCGCCCGGAGCACGGTGCGGAGCATGGCACGGCACGGCGAGGCGGGGGGCCTGCGGCAGGCTTGGGCACCGCACTTTCCCCCGGGGGCTCGGGCCTGTGGGCCGGGCCGGGCTGGGCTGGGCTGTGCGGAGGGGCCGGGCCAGGCCGGGCGGGGCTGGGGCTGCCTTGCCTCCTTTAGTCCCTTTCTCCTTCCCTCTGTCCCTCGGCAGCCGGTGCCCGAGCAGCCCCGCTTCTCCCTCCCCGCCCGTTGCGGCCGGGGATGGGCCCGGTCCGTGCCGGTTCCTGCGGGCCCAGACGGGCTGTGCCCCGTCACGGCGGGGCCGGTGAGCCCCAACGCTCCGGTGTGTTTGCTAACGGGCGTCCCGCACCTGCAGCCGGGGCCGGGGCTGTGCAAAGCACCTGGGAGCTCGCGGTGTGAGCCCTTCGCTCGGTCCGTGTGCCCTCGCCCGCTGGGGAAAGACGCAAAAAACCGGAGCCTGGATTAACTCTGGGTTCTTGATCAAGTTGATAACACAAACGGTGACAGAGATTTCAGTGGTGTGGAGCTGCCAAGCAGCAGCAGAACCTTCGACCACAGTCTGTTGTTTACTACAGCTCGGTGGATGTGCCCCTGCCCACCCGATGGCTCTGGGGTCTGGGGGAGCTCGGTATCGCTGTGTGTTTCGTCAGGGTGTTTGTAACCTGTTGGTGACATTTTGCACGTGGGATTTGTATGCAGGATCAGCCTGAGCTGAGGGTCCTCAGGTGGTGAGAAGGTTCTGCTGGGCCAGGGAGGTTTTGTCAGGTCACATTGGCGTCACCTCGGGAAGGTGTTGTTGGGTTCATGGCATGGAGGATTGTTTTCTCTTGATTTGTAGCTCTCTTGAAGGCTTTGTGCCCATTTTTTTGTGAGGTGCTGATTCTTCCTGTGTGTATTTAATGATAACACCCCAGTATTTTGTGCTGAAGGTTCCTCAGAGAGCAGTTGTGCTGTGTGCTACAAAACCTCACTGCAGACTTCTAGAACCTGAAGGAGCCGACAAAAAAGATGGAGAGACTCTGTACAAGAGCCTGGAGGGACAGGAGAAGAGGGAATGGCTTCCCACTTACAAAAGGCAGGGCTGGATGGGATATTGGGCAGGAATTGTTCCCTGTGAGGGTGGGCAGGCCCTGGCACAGGGTGCCCAGAGCAGCTGGGGCTGCCCCTGGATCCCTGGCAGTGCCCAAGGCCAGGCTGGGCAGGGCTGGGAGCAGCCTGGGATGGTGAAAGGTGTCCCTGCCATGGCAGGGATGGAATGAGATGAGGTTTAAGGTGCCTTCAAGCCCAAACCATTGTGGGATTCTGTAGTCTCATGTTAGTCTGATTTTGGTTTTATTATTATATTACAGAAGCAGAGTTTTGTGGGGCTGTTGACTGAGGCTGTCATGTTTTGTAAATTCTGTGGTTTATGTTTGTAGTTTGTCCGGGGCACCGTTGCACCTTCATTACTTTAGGTGTTCTGATGAAGCAGAGGTTTGGATGCCTGACCTTTCAGTAAAGCTCTGTGGACAGGGCTGCTGGGGAATTTTTAATCTTTGCTTATAGAGCACTGACTTCTCCTTTACTGGAAGCCTTACCAGAGCGTGTATCTCTAAAACTGCTGCTTTCAGCTGTCTTTACCCACTTGGAAGTACAAAATAATTGGACAACAGTCTTCTGTGGATTTTTTGAAGGAAAACTGAGTGTTATTACAGTCAGTAGGCATATCAAAAATGTGCTTAGACAGGGAAGAGAAACTACTAAACAGAAGCAAACAAAAAGCCGTGAAGGTTCTGTAAGTTGTTATAAAATGCAGACTCTGTAGCCTTTTCTTGTCCTTTTTTTTGCTCATAAGTCAGTCCTCTTTGAGTCTGGAGTGACTGACATGTAAAAATTTATTTAAAAACTTCCCTAAGATCCAAGTACTTCACTCTGTCCATCCCCACTTCCTTTTTATCAGCCCCCAGGTTCAGTCCTGTGCCCGGTGTTGTTTAACTCGTCCATCAGTGGTTGCATGAAGGGGTTGGTGCCTCCTGAGCTGCTGACACAGAGCAGGAGCAGTGGCCAATCCCCCCAGAGCTGTGCAGCCGTGGAGAGGGGCCTGGACAGGCTGCAGGGCAGGAAGGAGCTGTCAGAAGTTCAGCAAGGGCAGGTGCAGGATCCTCACCGGGGGAGGAGTGACCCCAGTGCAGCTGGGGCTGAGCTGCTGGGGCAGCTGCAGAGCCCTGGGTGTGCTGTGAACAGCAGGCTGTTCCTGGGCAGCTGTGTGTGCCAGGGGCAGGGAGATCCTGCTGTGCTTTGGGAAGGGCAGTGCCAGGGAGCTGATTCTGCTGAGGCAGATCTGGAGTGCTGCGTCCAGTTCTGGACATGAGGGATGTGGAGCTCCTGCAGTGAATGCTGCAGAGATGCTGAAGGGACTGGAGCATCTCTCTGTTCAGGAAAGGCTCAGTGAGCTGTGTCTGTTCAGCCTTGAGAGGGGACCTCAGCCCTCATCCTCTCTCGGTGCCTGCAGGGAGGGCTCAGAGCAGAGAGCAGGCTCTGCTCTGTGGGCCCAGCAATGGGACAAGAGGAAGGGGCAGGAACTCATAGCCAGGAAGTTCCACCTGGATTTGAGGAAGAACTTCCCTGTGCAGTGACTGAGCATTGGAACAGGCTGCCAGGGAAGGAGTGCAGTCTCCCTCACTGGAGATATTCCAGAAGTGTCTGGACACAATCCTGTGCCATGTGTTCAGGGATGACCCTGTTTAAGCAGGGAGGTGGGACCAGATGATCTCTGTGTTCCTTCCAACCTGTCCCACCCTGTGATTCCCTCTGACTCTGGGATGTGCAGGGCAGTGCTGGAGTCCCTGCAGGGATTTACCAGACAGGTGGATCTGGCACCTGGGGCATGGTTAGTGGTGGCCTTGACAGTGCTGGGGAAACAGTTGGACTCTGGTCTTAGAGGGCTTTTCCAGCCTAAATGATTCTTTGAATCTACACAGAATAATTAAATAAGTCAATGTCTTCTAGGTGATTACCAAAATAGGTGTCATTATACACTGGTTGAAAGCAGAACCTTTGTTTCTCCTGTCTGTCCAGTGACTTGTACAAAATGTTTGTGTGGGGAAAACTGCCTCCAGGTGAGGTGGGAACAGAAGTGCTGTGGCTGTAACTGGCCCTCTCTGGAGGCCAGCAACTACCAGAGCTCAGCTCCTGTATCTAAGGGGAGTTCTGGGGGCCAGGCAGTGTGGAGACAGCTGTGGGGTTTGATCAGGCCCTGCCTGGTGAGAGGCACGTGTTTGGCACTGGTTATGTATTACAGCGACTTGAGCGGGTCGCTGGGGTGGTGAGAGAAAGACGAGAATCTTGTTTCTTGATCAGAAGGCTGGATTTATTGATATATAATACATTATAACTATACTAATAAGAATAAAGAGAGAAGTTGCAGATGCTGCTAAGCTCAGCTAAGAATAGAAAAGAAAAGAATCTATAACAAAGTTCTGTGTCTCGGGAATCTTTCCCGAGCTTGCTCTTGTGATTGGCTTTTAACGGTACACATGGAACAAGAATCAATCACAGGTGCATCTTATTGCATTCTACAGCAGCTGATAACAATTGTTTACATTCTCTTCTGGGGCCCTTGCTTCCCAGAAGATGCACGAATCTGAAGGAAAAGGTTTCTATGAAAAAATGTCTGTGACAGTTATGTCCTGGACTGAGATGAAGTCTCAAAGCAGAACATTGTAAGATTTGTACATGTCCTTTCCTTAGCAAGAAGTACCTTGGGGAAATCACACCCAGCCCCTTCCCCAGTGCAGGAATGAGCCCCCAGCCCCTGCAGAAGGGATGGGGCTCTGGGCTGTGCTGCCTGAGCACACGGGGACCAGCAGGAGCCTCTTCCATTGGCACATGGGAGCAGCAGAACTCGTTCAGCACTTTGTTTTTCTCAGGCCAGACCTGCTGGAGCTGAGCCTGCTCTTCACCCCAGCCCCTGCAGGATCCCCAGCCAGCGCAGCCAGGGCTGCAGGTGCTGCTTCACCAGGTGCCTTGGCCAATTACTGCATCTGAAACAGGAGTGTTCCTGCTGCTGCCTCCTGTTTGTTTTGCTTTTGTAGCAGATAAAGCTCTTTAAGGAGACTTCCTGTTAATTAGGGGCCTTTTGGCCCAGGGGCAAGAGGTGCCATCAGAGTGACCCCGTGTGTTGAGCTTTGTTTGCTGTGCAAGGCTTCCTGCACTGCTGAGGGCTTCATGCTGTATTTTGTATTCCCTGGGAACAAGTGTGCCCCTCTTATTTACAGAGCATCACGGTGAAAAGGTGAAATAATCACCACCTGCAAGCAATAAAAAAGAGGCTTAATAGTGGTGATTTTCTGAGAAATCCCCTGCTGAGTGCGTGGTTGTCATGTCTGCTTGGATGAGCTCTGCACTGCCAAGAGACAATGGTAAGCTGCAGTGGGATGTGTATTGAATGAAAACGTCATTTATGAAGGCAAAATAGCAACCCTATAATTCTCCTGACTTATTAAAAACTGGCTGAGGCAAATTTGGAGCCCCTCAGTGAGGGGCCTGTGGCTGTGTGGCTGCATCAGTGGGGCAGCTGCTGGTTCTGATTGCTGTAGTTGCCATCCCTTGTATTTGTGTTTTAGTTGAAAGATTGAAAATAGCCTGATCTGTGGAGTACAGACTTGACTATCATCTTCACTTTGTATTTTTCCTTTAGCTGTGGAGAAAAAGGGGATTTAGAAAAAACATCTGTGCTGAAAGCAATGGTGATACCTGAACATCATCTGTGTGAGAGGCAGCAAGAGTCATGTTCCTGGTGGGCTTTCTGGAGTGGCCTCTTCGAGGAGCACTTGCATTTAAGAACAACTGTTGTGTATACAAAAATCCTGGTGAAACCCTCTTGGGTTTGTAATGGTGTATTGAGAAGATTTATTAGACATTAGGAAGAAATTGTTCCCTGGCAGGGTGGGCAGGCCCTGGCACAGGGTGCCCAGAGCAGCTGTGGC